TGTGCGTGTTTGACGCTCATTCGCGAGAAATTTGCATGAGTGAATATTTCACTGTGGTTGGCAGCACTGCACAGAGCTACAAGCTAACCGCAACGTGAAATAATGAGGTCGACAGACGACGCACATGAATGGCACGAGTAGCGCCTGTGTGAATCCAATCGATGAAACAAGACGTGCACGAAGGGTGCAAGATAGTTTCTCTTGTACCAACAGACAACGCACAGAGTAAGTTGCCTGTGGATTGAGGGCAAAACACAGGAGCGCGGTTCAGAACGTGCTTGATGCGGAAATTTAACCGAAAAGATCTCGTTTTCTCCATATTTGCGCGTCATATAAAAAGGGTAGTTAAGTCTTAGATGAGGCCCAAAAAGTTATTGTACGCCTTGTGTGGGTACTTTGTAGTGGCAGAAGAAACCATGAAATTTCACATGAAAATACCTGGTAAATCCGGGTTGGGGCACGGGTGTAGGTGAACTGGCGAGTGACTTTAACTCCAGTTGCGATCTCCCTCTAAAACAATCATAAACAAGGATCGGCTATCGTGAGCTCCAAATAGGTAACAAAGAAGTGTGTATAAAAATCATTTTAAATAGGACTGAACACCTTGAAAGTATATCCCTCTAAACAGAAGGGTACAGAACATTCGGGAAGAGACAAAACCCAAGACAACGTGAAAAAAATAAGGAAACTCACATAAATCTGTAGGAATGGCTTCGGCGGAATAGACTGTTAGTTGTCTTTGTCTTCTTTGCCTCTTTCGCCTCTTTCAGACTGCAATTGAGAGTACGCAGATTTGCAATAGGAAAATTGATATAGGTAACCAAAAAGCGATAGGAAGTTGGAATGCTTGTATTTCTTTGTCATAAATCATCAATCCAAAACCTCTGCTACGGAAAATGGCGCATAAATGTCTACTGGAGGTGGCATTTAAGACGAAATTTTGCACAGTAACAGAAAACGAAACGGACAATGTATCCAAAATGCTTAAACGTCTGCTGATCTTCGATGTGTGGTTGTTGAAAACATCGGAAATATGGCTGGTAAGCAAACATTAGCTCAAAACCAGTCAAACAAGAAATACGCTGGGATCACCGTTATGAACCAACGACAACTAGTTTAAGGTCTAGAAAAACGCTCGATAGGATAACTATTCACGAAAGACAGACGGTGATGCGAACATGCAAGTTAAAGATGCCAAAAATTCGCGTTAAAACAGTTTGACTGGAGAGAGAACAGACCAGTTTTAGAGTAGCAACGGTAGCAAAGTGACCGTAAGACCGTAAATGGGGAAGTTGCGCAGCAACATAACCCCGAGCAAGCTGAAACATATTCAGCCCAAGAAACATGAGAACCCGTGGGTAGGTGTTCTTTTTGTAGATACTGCTTTCCTATTACAGGCAACATAATGAAGACGCCCCCGTGATGGAGCTTTCTATACAGTCTAGAGACGCGAATCTTCGAGCCTCTTAGAACTGCGCTTCATTTCTAATACCGTGAAATATTCACACGACTCGTCTGCTTAGTATATGACATGTTGACCGTGGAGTTTTCACGATGTCCACCGCGTGCCTTACGGCAGGCTGAAAGCAAGCGCGGTGACGCGTGTGGATTAGATTATGATGAAGACTTGGGCTGCATCTACTGTACTTCCTCTTCCCCT